GGTCAAATGTTTCAAGAGCTCAAAGAAGAAACACATACGCAACTTCATAAGATGTTCAGTGAGCTTGAAGAGGATTTTATTAAACAGATAAAGGATTTTACTAATACAATGTTTGAAAAGCTTAATGAAGAAACAAACAATAAACTGTCCTAGTTACTTTCTCATTGCAGAGACACACTACCCAACGTTCACATGTTAAAGGAAGAAAGATGTATTTTAGCTCATTGTAGAGTTTTCAGTCCATACTCGCAGGGCAGCATGGCAAAGGAAAGACTGTCCATGGCATGGCAGCCAAGAAGTGGTGAGCCTTCCTTCTTCTTTTCCTTTTTAATCTATCCAGACTACAAGCCTATTGACTCGTGCCACCCACACCCAGGACATCTCCCCTCTTCAGTAAATTCATCAACCACATCAAAACTATGCTAAGACAATCAGTAGACTAATCCAATGCCACACACCCATGATTCAATTAGATCCCCAAAGCCTCCACTATGAGCACATGAGGCTCTGAGGATACATCGAAATATAAGCCATAACATTCTTCCCGTGGCCTCTAAAAGACTCATGCACATTTCTTTATCCAAAATGCATTTAGTCTATCACTAAGAGTTGCCAAAGTCCTAACAGTTTCAGCGTTGCTGAAAAGTCCAAATCCAAGTTCTCTGAGAGTTAAGGCAAACTCTTATCTACAAGCCCCTGTAGAGATGAAAAAAAGTTAAACGCTTCCAACATAAAATGGAACAAGAAAAAATTCCTGTTCCAAAGGTATAAATAGGGGGGACAGAAAAAAACTGGACCAAAACAAGACCAAAATTGGGCAGGGCAAACATTAAACCCCATGCATTTCCAGCATCTGGGGAAGTTGGTGGCAAGATTTGAACTCCAAAGGGCTGAGCTCTACCCCTAAGCACTGTCAGTAGTTTTAGTTCTCACGGCCTCTCTCTTGGGCCAACTTTACTCACTCCTTGCGTTTCTCCTCAGATAATTGACATTTCTAGTTTCTTCAACTTTCTGGGGTCTCCACTGCCCTTTTGGTTTCACTTAAAGCTTCACACCCTACCTTCTCAGGGGCACACTGCTTGGCCTCGAAGGACTTCTGAAATCTGGATGGAAGCCTTCCTGACCCCAGAACTCTTATATTCTGAATGGTCTAAAATCGGCACCACGTGGATGATGCCAAGGTCTGCTGTCACCTAGAGCAGTAGCCAGGCTTCCCCTTCTCCCTTGGTGTAGGGGTCAAGTGCCTGGATTGCTGAGCACTAATGTTGGGAATGGGCCCCCAGATTCATTTTGCCACTGTAGATAATAAAGCACCCAGACACCAAGAAATCTCAGCACAACTTTTTACTTCTGCAGAAGGGCACAAGCACACTGTAGCATGAGGTACCACACACGCAGAGATTCAGCGGCAGGCTCCTTTGACTTCCTAATGCCTGAGAAGCAGCTGACCTCCCCGTTGGCCTGTTTGAAGGTTCACAATCTATCCCAAATGGCTAGTTTAAGTAGCACAAGGGGAAGGCCTGAAGAGTTGCCAAGCAGGGTTTCTAGGAGTGGGAAGAGTGGCAGTACGGGGGAACTAAAAGTCCTTGGCTGTTGATAAGTTATTTTTTGTGGTCAGTCATGTTCCAGAATGTATACTAAGCAGACGTTTCCCGTAACTCTAGTGTACAGGCTGGGGAAGGATCACCTAGAGCGGACTGGAGTTTAAGATGGAGGTACTCCTCTTTATATCCTTCTATAATAAGGACCTTCTTTTTTTTGGGGGGGGTTGCCTGGGATAGAACTCAGGTCCTTGCACTTGAGAAGCAGACAGCAGCACCACTGAGCTCAGTCCCCAGCCTAAGAACCTTGTTTCTTACACTACCAACCAATCCAGAGGAATAAACTCCCCACACTGCCACTGTTCCGGTCCATGGTCTGCTGGGGCTGTCTTCCCAAAGCAAAGCCTTTCACCTGTGCAATTTTTTGTTTGTTTGTTTGTTTTGTTTTTACTGTGGTTAGAATTTAGGATAGTCTACTTGCAAAGTAGGTGGCAGCATCACTGAGCTAAATCCCTGACCTTCACCTTTGCAATTTTGAGGCTGCAAAGAGTGAAGTTCTGCTGGTTCTAGCAATGCCCTCAGGATAAACTGTTGATGTTCTATGCTCAAAGTGATGAACTCAAGTTAATGAAAAATATGAAAATTTTGGCTGGTTGTGGTGTACAAATCGCCGCACTAGGGAGGCTGAGGTAGGAGGATCACTGTGAGTTGGAGGTTAGCCTAGGCTATATAGTGAGTTTCAGGGCAGTCTCAACAACGTAGCAAGACCCTGTCTACACACACACACACACACACACACACACACACACGCGTGAAAATTCTGCATAAAGCTAAAAATGAAAGTTTCCTTGTTGTTATTGTCATCGTTGTGATACTGGTAATCTAACACTATTACTCTCCCATTTGGCTATATCTCCAGACCTTTTTACCTTTTATTTTGAATTGTGGGTTTACTAAATTGCCCAGGTTGGGTTTGAACTTGCAATTCTCATGCCTCAGCCTGCAAGTAGCTGGGATTGAAGCCCCACTCCATCCAGCTAAATGTGAAAGTCTTAATTATGTATTGAAAGAGTGGATCCAGTAGTGCTGTGGTAAACACAAGTCACTCAGTGGTGGGCCAATTGTACAACAAATCATATAGCACAGTGCACTGGGGCAAAAATGAAGAGAACTGGGAATAATCAAGAGGCAACTTGCAGAAATTTAAGAAAGGACGTGCTGTGGTATAGCTCAGCGGTAGAACACTTGCCTGGCATACATGAGGTCTGGGATTTGATTTCTAGTACCATCAAAAAGAAAAGACATGATCTTAGTTTTTAAATATTTGCACTGATAAAGTGTTTCCTGGTCACAAAGCAGTGGAGAAATTCACTGACAATTTGCCAAGGTGATGAGAATCTGATATCAGAACAAGTCTGTAACGCTGATGAAACATCACTGTTTCTGTGTTACTGTCCCCAAAACACACTGAACATAGCAGCTGAGACAGGCCCTGCAGGAATTAAGGATGCCTAGGACAAACAAGTGAACTAGGATCTGCTAAAGTGGCAAACATGGATAAAGATAAACTTGCTATAATAGGTAAAATCTTGTGACATTGCCATTCTGAAAGAGAATTTTTTACCAGTTCACTATAAATGAACAAAAATGTATGGATCATCATCTATTTTGTTTTCACAAATATTTTGTACCAGTGGCTAATGGTCACTGCAGGGAAGGGGAACTGAAAGATTTTGTTTCTCCTTGACAAGTCTTCAGCTCATCTTCCTGCTGAAATTCTCATCAGAAGTAAAGTTTATGCCACGTACTTCCCCTAAATGTGATTCATTAATTCAGCCATGTGACTGGAGTGTCCATAGACTAATGAAGAGGACATGTAAAAACTTTGTTAGTTTTTTTTTTTTTTTTGAGACAGGCTGTAGCCTCACCTGACCTCAAATTTGCAATCCTCCTGCCTCAGCCTCACAAATGCTGTTGATTAAAGGCACCCATCACCACAGTTGGTGTCAAAAGTTATTTTTTAAACTGGATATGGTGGCACACACCTATAATCCTAGCACTTGGGTAGGAAAATCATTGCAAATTGAAAGCAGCCTGGCTACAGTAAGTTCAAGGTCAGCCTGGTTCCATAACAAGACCCTGTTTCAATCTAACAAACAAACCCCTTCCTTGAAGAGTAGTCTAGTGCCAGTGAACAGAGGTATAGACAAGGAGGGTTTTTCTTTTTTTGTTGTTGTTTTGTTTTGTTTTTTTGAGACAGGGTCTCACTGTGTAGTTGAGACTGACCTGGAACTCAGTATGTAGCCCAGGCTGGTCTCAAACTCACAGTGATCCTCCTGCCTCAGCCTCCCGAGTGCTGGGATTACAGGTGTATGCCACCATGCCCGGCTTAGTATTTTTAAACCTAGTATCAAATAGAAAAAGACAGAATAAATTCCCTATCTAAGATAAAGCAAGAACAGCTCCCTGTGGATTGATAATATTGTCCCTAGATTATGAATATTTGCATTTTATGTTTACTCATTTTACTATAAATATATAAATGATACTATTAGACATATTAGAAATATAAATAAGATAATACAGATTACATGGAGAGATGTTTAAATAATCTCTGGTAGGTTCTTAGTATTTAATAATCATGACAAAAACAAAATAAACAACAAAAAAGGAAGGAATTCATAGTAAAAACCTGAAAATAATAACGTGAAACTGATACACTATAGAAATGTGAGGGAAACTTCAAAATAGAATGTTTTAAAAGATTGCTACAATTCTGTCAAGCATTATTAAGGAAAATAGAACAAAACTATGAACAATGTGTAAGACAATATAACCACAGAGACAAACAAGTATCTATGGTCTATTAAACGATGAGATGCCTCTGATTCTGAAACATTCAACATCTTGACCAACTTTATCTAGTCTGAAAGTAGCCAAGCCTGTCAACAGCCCAGGAAAACAGTCAACAAAGGTAAGGAACGGTCACACGAACATCGGAAGGTGCTCTTATGGTATCGTTCAAACAAAAGACTTTGGGGAGTGGGGGTGTGGTTACTGGCAGTGCTTGCCTAGCGCGTGGGACGCCTTGGACTCAGTCCTGAGTATAACAACAACTGCAAAAACTTTTTAAATTAAGGAGCCAGTTTTTACAAAGAGGGGATTGCAAAGAATGGGAAGGATTTCCTCAAAAAGCCAAGGTCTTCAAGTTAGTTAATGAATAACTTTATAAAGATGAATATAAATATGTACTTCTTTTCTTTTTCTTTTTTTTTTCTTTTTTTGGTACCGGGGATCGAACTCAGGTCCTCGCGCTTGCGAGGCAGGCAGCGGGACCACTGAGCTAAATCCCCGGCCCCTATAAATATTTATTTCTAATAATAAAATAAAATATTCCCAAACTTTGAGATATAAATGAAGCATCCAGACAGAGATGTAACTAAATTTTACCGGTGGCTCTAGTTATGTAAGAAGAAAATAGTCCCTCTGGCTTCTTAGTCTCTATGACAACCTCAGTTCTTCCTGTGGCAGGTAGATGATGTAGACGCTTCTGCAGATCAGCAGGGACAGCCACCATTCAAAGGGGAAGCAGGGAATCTGCTCAGCGTAGCACCACATAAGGGAAAGGTCCCAGGGCTTTCTAGAGACACGGCAATGAGTTGAAAAGGTCATTCCACCAATTTCCTGCCCAAAGCCTTTCTTAAAGCATCTTTCACATCCTTGTTTCTCAGTGAGTAGATTAAGGGGTTCAGCATTGGGATCACCACTGTGTAGATCACAGCAACTGTGCGGTCCTGGGTCGGGGAGTAGCTGGACCTGGGACGCAGGTACATAAAAAGGGTTGTACCGAAGAACAGGCAGACAGCAGTGAGGTGGGACGCACAGGTGGAAAATGCTTTGAGCCTGCCCTGGGCTGATTTCATCCTCAGGATGGTGATGAGGATTAAGAAGTAGGAGACCAAGATGGTGAGGGTGCAGCTCAAAAGGTTGAAACCTGCAAAAATGAAGAGCAAGATCTCGCACAGTGAAGTGTCCACACAGGACAGGGACAAGATGGGTGGTCCGTCACAGAAAAAGTGAGTGACCACGTGAGCACCACAGAATTTCAGACTGAAGATACAGCTTGTGTGGATAAGGGAGTTGAGAAATCCTGCACTGTAGGAGCCTGCGACCAGCGAGATGCAGACCCCAGGAGACACGCTGGTGGAGTAGAGCAATGGGTTACAAATAGCAGCACAGCGGTCGTAGGCCATGGCCGCGATGAGATAGCACTCGCTGGTGGCAAAACCTGCATAGAAGAACATCTGAGCCATGCAGCCGAGATAGGAAATCACCTTTCTCTTGACCAAGAAGTTCACCAGAGTCTGGGGTACAACTGTAGAGGAGTAGCAGAAATCCAAGAAAGACAGGCTCTTCAGGAGGGAATACATGGGTGTGTGCAGGGCGGCCGTCGCATGGATCAGCAGGAACATGACCAGGTTCCCCAGCACGGTGACAGTGTACATGCCCAGGAACAGTACAAAGAGCAGCCTCTGGAGCCGGGGGTCTCCGGTGAGGCCCAAGAGTTCAAACTCCATCCTGCGGCTCAGATTTGTCACTTCCATATTTATCCAGGGCTCCGGGGTGTGGACACCACCAGAAGTGAGCTCAAACACCTAGGAGCTTACTGGATTCAGTCCCACTGTAAGGACAACCTCTTGGAGGTCCGTCGTACTGAGGACATTCGACTTGGCTGGTTGGTTGCTTGATTAATTGGTAAGCATTGCTTGAGTAGCAATGGGAAATATAAAAGAAATATATGCTATTTGGTCTCTCAGAGGTCATAAAACATTATTAAATAATAAAATATTCACCCACCAACTGTGTGTGTGTGTGTGTG